GCTCTTCATTGTGCCTGAGACATGCTGTGGCCACCCCACCTCTGTGGTCCAGACTTGCTCTCTTATCTGGAACGTCTCCTTTGCCTGTCCCCCAGGGCCTAGACTCTTTAATTTTCTCCCTGATCTGTCAAGTGTACTACTTCCTCCTCTCTTTGTTCACCGCAACTCCTAGCATTGACCCTCACCCCCAGGTTCCTGGGTCTTCCCTAGCCTCTAGGAGCCTGAAGAACTACAGGGTAATCTTAGGTGCCTGTATTGACCTGGAGAGCACTGAAGAATGGGTGCCCTCCTGCTGTCTCCACGAGACAGGTCCTGCCACATGTCAGGAATCAGAAAAGCAACTCCTTGGATTTGGGATGTCCAGTGACTCAGCCTCACTAGTTGTGCTTGTTTTGGGCAATGCTATCCATGCTTTGCATTCCTAAGCCTTTATGTTGTTTGGGGAAAATGGCAGAAGCATCCTGAGAGGCTGGGGAACTGAATACCTGTGGTTATCACCCTCTAAGAGAATCCTAAGGGAATAGGATGAGGTGGGGGGAATTGGCTTGTTTACTACCTGCTGCACAGAAGACACAGCTCTGAGTAGGTATTGCTATGCTTAGATGACAGAGGTGGGAACTGAGGCTCAGATTTGCTTGGACTATAAATGCTAGTCTCCGTCACCTTCTGCCTCCTGCCCAACACTGAAGGATGGGGACCCTGAGAAGTCCCCAGCCCAGACCTGCCAGGACCCAGGTAGGAGCTAGGTCATGCTGGGTTTGCTCTTGGGGGTGTGTGCATGTAGACAGTCAGGGAGACCTCTTGTTCAGGATTGGAAAATTTGCTGCAGCAAGCCCTGCAAAATGTTGCATGTTCTTCAACCAAAAGGTGCAGTACTCAGATGGAGAGAGATCAGGATGGGGAGTCAGGAAACCTGGGTTCCATCCTGCCTCTGCCACTGACAAAATGGTAGACTTGAGCAAGCCTTCTCGAGTACTCGTTTCCTCACTGGCAAAATGAGAATGTGGGTAAGGGGACCTCTATGCTTCTAACTCTAAAGCTTCATGGACAGAATATGCATTTTCTGAGCACTGGTCACTTAAAAATTACATGAAATTATAATTTGCTGCATATATTTGTATCAGTATACATAAAAATATATGTAAATTTATATATAAACTGGAGACCAGACATATGTAAGTTCCCTTGGTATTAGGTATTTAGAGAAAAAGTGACTTAGAATGAGAACACCTGAGCTGAGGCCTTCAAGACCCTCTAGTCCAACCTCCAAATCGCAGATGAGGCCCTAAGGTCCAGAAAAAGGGAGGTTCTTGTTCAAGGTCACAGGAGAACAGTTGCAGTGGGAGCACCTCCCCCAAGGAGAGGCCTGCTGGAATGTAAGTGAAGAATGCGGGAAGCAATCCCAGTTGCTAGGAGGCAAAGCTGAGGGATAAAGAAACATGGGGACAGATTGTGTTTGGGATCTGTGTAGCACCATGACCTGTTGTCATGGGGATAGGAAAGCACCACAGGTTAAGTACTGTGGGGAGAACTCAGGGCCTGGTGGAGTGGGCTGAGCCCTGCCTCGATGTTACTGTAGCACATCTCCTCCCCAGCGGGGAGGAGAATGCACAGGGTGACTTGTACCTCTAGTGAAAAACTAGTCAAGGAGAAGTATAGTCCCCCAAATGTGAGTAATAGCAACTCATTTATTTGGGGCTCCCCCATCCACTTTGACATAAGCCTAGTGTTCCCTTTTTTTTTTTTTTTTTTTAAAAAAAAAAGATTATGCATACAAGAACTGGGGTACAGGCCAGAGGTGTGTGTGTGTGGGGGGGGTGAGATGAGTCACCAGAGACAGAGTGGGGAACAGAACAGGCAGACTCACTGAAATACACTGCTGAGGGGAGCAGCGGGCGAGATAGGAGAGGTCTGCTGTGCCATGTGGATAGCTCCCTAGCTGGCCAGGAATCAAACTTGTGCTGCAGTGGCTGCGGACAGCTTCATAGTGCTGACACTTAACCCCTTGCTCCACCAGGGAGGCCCTGTGTTCCCATTTTGAAGGCAATCTTGTTCACCAGTAATTTAGAGAAAATCTAGCATTAAGATCTTATCCCGGGTCAGGCCACTTCTAGGACAGGTCAGTGAGAAATCTGGGGTCCTCACCCTTTCCCACTCTTGGGAAATGGGCAGGAAAAAAATGCCCCCACAACTGCCTCACCCCATGAGGCAAATCTGACTGCAGGCACTGATGTCAGGGAAGGGATGGGATACACAGGCCTTGGCCTTTTAGAGCCTGGGGCAGGGATGGCAGGTGGGAAAAATCCCAATAAAATACTCTAAGCTCAGCTGGTACACACTTTGCCTTCCCAAGTTCTAAGATCAACAGCAAATAATGGAAAATCTGTACAATACTAAAAATACAAACATAAAATTAAAGGGACATTCTTTAAAGGGTTAGATCTGTTGAAGTCTTGAAAAAAAGCACTTCAGACAACAAAGCCTTTAATGTAAAGGCCAATTCTAGGGACCAGGTGAGATTTCATTTCAAGGACCACACCTGGATCCCTCACACCCAGGCTCACGCTGCTCGAAGAGCAAACCGCTACCTCCAGCCTCCACTGGGGGCCTGTGCCAGCTTGTCATAGGTCTGTATAGGCCCAGGTGTCAGCAGAGAACCACAGCTCCTAGGTCAGCAATTAAAAAGCAGACAGTCTAGGGCCTCCCTGGTGGCGCAGCAGTTGAGCGCTGGGTTGCGAAGCTGCCCGCAGCCTCTGCAGCGCTGGTTCGATCCCCGGCTGCTCCCCGGCCACCAGAGGAGGGTCCCACATGGCGCGCAGACCTCTCCTGCCGCCCGCTGCTCCCCTCAGCAGTGTACTTCAGTCCTTCTGCCTGCTCTGCTCCCCGCTCTGGCTCTGATGAATTCTCTCACCCTCCAGCGCTTCTGACTGTACCCAGTGCTTATATGAATAAATAAAAACTAAATCTTAAAAAAAAAACAAAAACAGACAGTCCTTTTAAAGGTCTATTAGATAAGCTGACCTTAGGTGTCAAGTCAGAGGTGTGGTTCTAGAACCATTTTCCTCAGGACATGGATGCTGAGATATTTACAAATGGTGATATGACACCTCATCCCTCAGTGCTTCAACCCCCAAATCAGGTGCATATAAATGTGTGGCAAAATACTAATAATCGGTGAATGCAGATGAAAAATGTTCAAAATGTGTACCATTTGTTTTACAGAAAGATTTTAACTCAAAATTGTGTAACTTCTCTCTGAACTTGGAATTGAGAGTCTGGTTGAAGCAAATATGTGATTAATATATTATGATTAATGTATGTCAGGAGCTCTTTCTGGGTTCAAATCCCTCCCAAATCAAGATTCCATCACTTATTTCTCAAAGCTATTATTTATTCTGTACAAGGTTCTGCTGTACATTAGCCATTCTTCTGCTCTTGCTTACACAGTAAACAAGTGTACACCGGCCCTTTGGCTCAGGTTCACAGGTCTCCCCTGGAGAAGGGTTTCAGGCCAGTTAGACTTGGGTGTCTTTCTCTGATGCCTCTTCCTGGGAGCACTTGGAAAGCTCCAGGCTCGAGGGGCACAGCCAGGCCAGCTTTGTGGGTGCTGAAGAGTTCCATGCCTCATGTTGAACAGCTTTACTCTCTGGGACAGCAGAGATTTGTCTGACCCCTTAGGACAATGTCAAGCTCCTGGGAAAGAATCATACAACTGAGGCAAAATGTCCTCAAACACCCAGGCTTCTGCTCCCAGGCAGCACTGAAGACCAATGCCCAGAGGAGCCGAGGGGCGGCATGGGCATCCCTGAGAAACTCGGTCCAAAGGGCCTACATGTCTAGGAGGCTCTGAGAAGGGGGTATGGGGCCAGGCAGGGAGAACAAGCTTGTTAAGGGGAAATAAATTAAAGGTGAGAAGCTCTAGGGGTGAGGGGCTTGTGCTATCCTTCAAACAGCTGGGGAGTAGACTGGGGTGGGTAGAGGAAGTGGGCAGAAGAACTCGATACACTATCATAAGAAATCTCCTTTGACCTACTCTCCTCTTCACCTCACTGCAATGCAAACAAGCCAGAGGCTCAGGGCATGACCCTCTCTTCCCCAGCCGGTTTGAACATGACACTGGGGAAAAGGGAAGAGGCTGAGGGACATTTCAGGGAGGGGCAGTTACCCCATGGTCCCCAAATGCTATAAGGCACAATTCTTGGAGGCAACTAGATTCCATCCAACACACTAAAAAAAACCAAAAACAAAAAAACTTGTTATATCCCGGGTCTACTGTGGCTGTGCTTGGGGCCTGGCCAACACCCACCTAGCACCACTGGGGGCTAGCATTGGAAAAGTTGTCTTTGAAGAATTGAAAGAAAAAAAAAAAAAGGAAGGAAAAGACCAGCACAATGTCCCAGCTGTGAAGAAGTGTGAAGGAGAGCATCTCCAGTCTGAAAACTTAAGTTAATGGTAATTAAAAAAAAAGTTGGGCTTTTGAAAACCAAAAACAGCTTTTTTCAAAGATGTCCCCTCATTTGTCCCCCTGGAGTTAGCAGCGTTAAGAGGGCTCTTGGCTCATGGGTGTTTTCTTGCTTCTGGACCAGTGAGCAGGGTCCAGGTGAAGATGGGGTGCCTGGCGCAGGCACCAGTGCTTTCAGGCAGCGATCCTCCCAGCAGGCTACAGAGGGCGCTGTCTTCTCAGGAGGAGCAGGGGGCTGGAGCCCGCAGCAAGTGGATGAGGATCTTCTCCCCACAGACCGGGGTTGTTTATTACACACAGGAAGAAACCACAAGCTTAAATGCAAACAAGAGACGCTGAGGGGCTCTGGGCTGGCTCCGGTCTCCATCTCCGTGTCCTGTCGATCTTCCTTGCCAGGCGTGGCTCAGGAGCACCTGGCTCCCCACTCTGGCCCCGACCAGGCTGCAGCAACTTCGGCTCAGCAGCGTTAGTTTATTTTATTTTTCTCTTATTTGTCAGGTGTTTGTTTTTGGGTTTTTTTTTTTTTTTTGTCTTTTTAAAAAAACTTAGGGTGTGAGGCCACCACAGGGTAGGGAGAAGAAAGGGATGTAGCTCCTCGCTGCTACATGCGGGAAGGTGGACTGGCCAATTCATAGAAGAGCAAATAGGCGTCGCTGGTGCGCACTTGGCTGGAGGACATGGGTGTGACGCTGTGGAGAGAGCAGGGAAAAGTCAGAGCCCTGGTCATGGGGAGGCCATCGGACACAGCAAAGTAGCTGAGGGAGTGTGATGGCCTGTCTCTACCTCTCTACTGGACACCCAAGGCCAATCTCTTCTGTAGTCTTCTAAAGATTCTTCAAATGGGCAGCAGACTTATATGTGTTACATGGCTTTTGGTTCTGACCTTTTCTGTCCAGCCATGGTAGAAGCCAGACAGATGGGCGAGAATAGGAGACAGCCCTGAGACCCGTCTCACCTGGAGTCATTGAAAGTGTGCCATTCGCCTGTCACTGGGCTTCGGCAGTAGGCTGTATAATGGCCGCCCATGGTGGTTCCGGAGTGATTGGACACAGCATACAGGTTGTAAACAGCATGGTCTGAGGAGGATACAAAGGTTAAGCCCCCAAGGCCTTTCTTGCCCCCACGTTTCCTCCACCTCTTTGCCTCCCATCTGTAGCTTAGACACTTGTGCTGTGTTTCTTCCCTTCTTGCTGAAAAATACTCACTGGTGTTTTCTGAGGCAAATTCTCTTAAGTCCAGGTCTCTTAGTGGGAAATTCACAAATGTTGTGAGCTTGCTGGTTCGTATCCTGGATTCTGAGAACCGTTTCAGATCTGGTAGTAATGTGAGTCAAGGGCAGACAGGGCAGCAAGAGTGTCAAAATAAAGGAGACCGAGCCTAAAAGGCCCCTGTACTTCTCAGAAAGCAGAAAAGCAAAGGAATAATGGCTTTGCGGTTTTCTTTTTCCTACTCTGCGCCCCCCCACCCCCCTTTTTGGCCCCTTGTCATCAATCACTTTCTAAAGGCAAGTCCCTGCCCTGATGATCTGAAGGATACGGAGCACCAAGATCTTTGGGAACCTCTGGATGGAGAACTTCTTTATACATCGTTTTCTGGCTCTGCAGCGACAGCACGTCTGAAAGACAGGACAAACAGAACTAGAAAGGACTCGGGGGAGAAGTCAACGGGCTGAATCAGTAAGTAGTAGGTGGCATCACTGGAGACGGCGGCGTTCCAGGGAGGTCCTGGGCATGTGCTCCTGTATGGAAGTGGAGACTTACTGGCTTCTCATCGCCATCAAGCACATCCTCTTTGGTGAAAAGCCTCATGCAGTCCATTAAAGTCACCTCAGGATAACCTCGCTGGGAGAAAAAAAGGTAAAGGTGAGAGGTGACTGACACCAAAGAATAAGTGTGGACATTTCAAAAGTGGGGCAACAGGGGTGCATACCTTCGCAATGGGCAGTGAGAGGTCCCAGAAGGGATCAAAGACTGTAGAGCAGTAACCACAATCAGTACATGTCAGGGAGCTCTTTAACTGCCCAACGAAGAGATCTGGGAAAAGGATGGCCATGTGACACTCAAGCACAGGAAGTGAGCACATGGTCTCCCTTCTCACTGCTCCTGCCTCAATTTGTAGGACTTTGGGCTGAAAGAAGGATCCCTCGGAGACTAATTCTTCTGGTTTTTCATATGTTCTCAGGCAAAAACTATTACCTGAGAAAGCAGGCCTTCCCGCCATTCATCCTCTTACCTCCGATCCTACTGTCTTCCCGTTCTAGGTATTTTCTCCACATCTGTCGCCCTTTCTCATCATCACTGAGATCCAGAGAAAAGAAGGCAAATGGGTCAGAGCCTAAACCATAATTTAAGGGTCTATCAATCTAAATTCTTTATATTCAAAATTCTCTCCAAACCATGACCCCCAAAGTAGCAGGTAAAAACTCAAGTTCACAACGTTTTGCTTTCCCACAGCAGTCTCCTCTTACTTACGGAAGGTGATCGAGATTCTCAGGATTGGGCTTAGGCCTCACTGTGACCCGGTTGACTTCGTTGTGGAGTCCATCCAGAAGAAAGCGAAGAAATTCCTGAGCATCCTGCTGACTGGGTCCAAAGAGGAGACAGTGAACACTAAGTCTGTCCCAAGAACCTGCTCTTGCTGCCACCCACCTGGTGAGGACCTGTCTGCAAAGCCCTTACTTATAGCCGACGAAACGCGGTGCATATCTCTGGATCTGGGTCTTGAACTCAGATGGGCTCACCACATCATTGGGGGACGAAGTCCATATGGTCTGGATTAGTTTTGCAAACTCTATTGCAAGGAAGGTGTAGGGAGGGGGTGTGGAGGACAGATGAGACACTTTTTTTTAAGAAACTGAAACTACAATCCCAACAGAAAAGAGCCGAGAAACAAACATGTAAAACACAATTAGTACATTCCAGCAACAGGGCGTGGAAAATGGTCCAGAGGGAAGGCAGGACCAAGTCCAAGCAGGAGTTCCTCACCTTCCATAAGGGCCGTGTGTGCATTGCTACTGTGGCTGAGATCCCGTATATAGAGCCTTTGAAGGCAATAATCTCTCAATTCCCGGGTGTTGCTCAGGCACTGCAGAATAGAGTTCATGAAGCACTGCAAAAGACAACCCAGACAATCAGGCAGGGAAGAGAGACGTCTGTCTGGCATCTCTGCTTAGTACCAAAGGCCCTCTAGTTTATCTACCACAGAAATGAATCTTCCTATAGCCTCAAGTTCCTCTTTTTAAGTGAAAGGATGAAGTCAGGCAAATTCCCACTGCTGGTACAAGTGACGTAACTGGTTATTTATTATAGAGGTGGACAGAGTGGGTGGGAAGGGATGGATGTCTTTGAGGAGAAGGATCCAGGAAAGTAGCTAGGCTGACAGTTAAAAGGGCAACTCCCCTGCTTGGGGCAGGGGTGAGGTATAGCCCAGCAATTCTGTAAAATACCAGCCAGGAAAGGCAGGTACCAACTGGCCTACAGGGTAGGAGTCAGCTGGAGCCTGGAGGGGCTCTGGTTACATTAGCCCAGTCAGGATAGTAGGGATTGGCCCCAGGAAAGAAATGGGCTGGGAAGAACTCACCGTGTTCCCAAGGTTTCGAAGACCGGCCAGACCCTGGGCGCTCTTAGAATTCTGTAAGCAAAGAACATGTGGGATCAAAGGCTCACGCAGGAGGCTGGGTCTGTGCCAGGCTCTCCACAACTTTCTGCCAGTTGGAGCCATAAGCATCAGGTCACACAGACTCTTTATTCTCTCTTCAGCTTTAGTCTATGTACATTGTAGGAGAGAGGACTGAGGAATGCCTGTTATTCTCAATATAACAAAAACATTCTTCAGGGCTTTGCTTTCTTTTATTGATTATGGATTTTCCTCCTACCTTTACATTACTCTTCATTCTCTACTATACTTGAGACTGGAATTAGAGATTAAAATTAGAGACTAGGGGGCCTCCCTGGTGGCGTAAGGGGTTAAGCGCAGCACTATGAGGCAATCCGCAGCCTCTGCAGCATGAGTTCGATCCCCCACATGGCGCAGCAGACCTCTCCTGTCTCACCCGCTGCTCCCCTCGGCAATGTATTTCAGTCAATCTGCCACTCTGTCTCTGGTGGATCCCCTCACCCCCTGCATCTCTGGCCTGTACCCCAGCTCTTGTATGCATAAATAAATAAATCTTTTTTTTTTTTTTTAAAAAAGAATTAGAGACTAGGAATTCACTTGGAATTCCTTGGAAATATGTGGAAACTTATTTGACCTCTGTTATAGGAATTTTCAGCTCGCAATCCAGGAACTATCTCAAATGACCTATATATTGGTGCCCCCAGATGCCTAATATATGAAGCAGCTGCCATAATAGGCACTTCAAGGAGGTCTTGAAAGGTTCATCAAAAAGTTAACCGATATCTGCTCCTGGGAAAAAGCCTGCCATTCTGAATTGCCGGAGACAGGTGGAATTCCTTCCTGCTGAGCTCAGCTCCTGAGGACTGATTAAAGCCTGGGAGAATCCTCCCTGCCTGGCTCAGGTTTCAACATCCTGACTGGCCACTGGCTGGGAATCCTTGTGATGGCAGATTACAGCCAAGGAGAGGTAAGCACCTGGCTGAGGGTGCCACTCTTGCTCTTGTCTATATTGTGGAGGTTGGTGAGGGGGTTGGAGAGAACAGGTGCTCGGGTGAGGATTCAGTGCTTTGTCCATGTCTGTTGGCTAATCCCAGCCCTGCCTCCAAGGATTCTGGAAACCTTCGGGCTCAAAGGGTTAAAGAGATAGTGTGCAGATAAGCCTGCCACCACCCCCCTCTCAGGGAGGGAGCCTGGAGCAGGCAACTCTGGAGCAACACTGGCTGGGGCATGCGTGGGGCCAGCTCAACCCTGATCAGAACAGGAGCCTGAAATAACTCAGCTAAAATTACTCATGCCGTGTGCTGACAGCCTCCCAGGCTGTCAGCAGCTCAAAGCCCAAGAGGTTGTCAGCTTAAGGGGGTGGGGTGGGTAGAGGCAGGCTGAAGAAGGGCTTTTCTCAGGAATTGCCTTGCCAATCTCACAGGTAAGAGGATCTCTTCTTGCCAGCTATCAGGTCTGACACTAACTGGAGGGGAAGGAATATACATCCAGAAGAGGGACCAGGTTTCAACGTGCAGCTAGAGAGAAAACCCTATTGGTAGCAGATAGGGTATAAGCATCCTTGAAGAACTCTGCCTGGACTGGCTGTAGGTGGCTCCAAAGACACATTCAAACCTCACCTTTTTGACAGTCTAACCTTGGCATTCCAGTAAGTGAGGAACAGAGGTAATTCCCTGGACAAAGACCCTATGAGCATTTTCAGGTAGCCCTGGAGAAGGATACACTTGGGGGGTCCAACAAAATCACTGTGGAAGTTTCCATGTTGCCCATTCTGAACTAAACGTTACAGCCTGCCCACAACAGAAAACCCGCTCCCCCCAATACCCGCTCTCACACCTATTTTTGGCAGTGCTTTATTAGTTCTTACCCCCTGTGCCTCAAACATCTGTCTAAACAGGCTAGAGAAGCAAAGAATTCTATCATTAGTGACCGTGTCAAGGCACCAAAGTGGGCCTCAGCTGAGAAAGCAGTCACTCAGCACAAGCGGGGGTGGGAAAATGAAAAAACTGGAGGCATCTCTCTACTAAGGCACTCCTGTGGTGTTGACCCAGAGAGGGTCAAAAACATGTGCTCATCCAGGGCTAACCCATCTACTGGCCTGGGAAGTGGGGAGATGGGAGAGGTTCCTTTAAGGCACTGCTAAGACCCCTCTGTTAGGTGATTTTTTTTTTTTAAGGGGGGGCCTGATGCCTTTGTCTAAGATTTCTTGAGTTCAAAACCACTTGCCAATTTCTAAGCACTTTGCGGAGGTGGTTGGATAACGAGTCAGGGGTGGTAGTGGAGGGGAGAGCAGAACTGTTCTCTGCCCAGCCAGATATTCTTCTGCCATGAATAGGAAATCAGGAGCTCCAGGGAAAGTCAGCACTTTCCATTCCAGAGAGGAACAAAACGTCCCAGGAGTGACCTTTCTTACAGGCAAAACAATCCTACCTCAGGGCAGACAGGGAGCAATTTGAACTGAAGTTGGGAGAGACCCTGCACAGCCAGCCTCTCACCAGCAGAGAAGGAAATGACTCTAGTGTGTATGCTGGAACTCAGGTGCAAAGAGTTCAGAATTTAGATCAAGAACTTCCTTAAAATTAGCCATTAGCAAATCTAATTTTTGACTAAGTAGCAAGCAATTGTTCTGCAAAGTAGACTGCCACCACCACAGACAACATTCACCTTCCAGGGAAGGAGCAGGGCCTCAGGAAGAGCTTGCTCTGGGTTAATGAGGGCACATCAGGGTCCATGGACCTGATCAGAAAGGCTGATTGGGGTCTGTGTCTTCACACTGAAGATCCCAGTAAAGGGCTTTCCTGCTTACTTCACCTGTGCCATGAGGGTCAGCCATGAGTGGTGGCTGCAGCCAAGCAGCCTGGTGTGGCCCTGGCACGGGGCAGTGCACGCACTGCCAACATGGGAGCTGGTGCTGTTACATAAGAGCCGTCAAGCTCCGGCCCCTTCTCCCTTCCCCAAGGGGGCAGTGCCCAAGCTTTATCGCCAGCAAAATTTCTCTGGGGTGGATACTTCATTTGAGGGGCCCAGCGCCCACTTAGAACTGGGGAGGGCTGGAGAGAAAAGGGAAGTTGACCTTTATCACCCTTCTGCAACTCCTCTGCCCTTCACAGGGACGAAGAGCCCCTATTACCACCCCTTTGGAAGAGCACCCTTTGGGCTCAGCGAGGGGGAGGCAGCCCCTTTCGGACCAGCCTTTCTTGCTCGGTTTTGGCCTTGGAGGAGTCACAGCCGCAGAGTCCGGCGTGCTGCCGTGCCCTAGCGCGAGAACTAGTCAAGGTTACGCTTTCCCGCACCTGTCCTGATAGGTGCCAGGAATTAAGAGCCACCTGGTGCCGGGGTCACAGGGAGGGAGGGCGGAGAAGATCTGGGGGACTCGGGGACTGGGACCTCAACCAGGGAGGGGCCGCGCGTAAGCGTGAGGTCACCTGGGGAGGGGGCATTCCTTGCCGGGAGACCCTGGGCAGGGAGGAGGGGGGGGCTGGGCAGAATCCGGCCCCCATCCCCGGCCCTGGCGACGGCGCGCGGCCGGGGTGGGTGGCAGCGGGCGTCCCGGGGAGGAGGCGGAACCCCAGGCCCTCGGTGTGGGGGGTCCCGGAACAGGGCCCCGCGTACCTTGGCTTTGTTGAGCAGGAGCCCCACGAAGGTGGAGAGCAGCAGGGAAGGGGAGAGAGGGAGCGCGGCCGCAGCTCCTTGGCGAGGGCGGGAAAGGGGGCGGCGGGGGGCTCCTCGGGCAGGGTCACGGTGTAGGAGGTGCGCATGCTGGGGGGGCGCGCGGGCTCGGCCCCAAGCCCAACGTCGGCAAGCGGGCGCGGGGGAGCACCGCGAGGGCCCACTCCCCGGACGCCCAGGCCGGCGAGGCCGCCAGGGGACAGCGTCCGCGGCGCCCGGCGGTAACCGATTCGGAGGGCCGGCCGCGCGAGCCTCCGCCTCAACCTCCCCGGCGCACGCCGCCAACCGCCCGGCGCCCGGCTCCGGCGCTCCCGCCGACTGGCAGCCGCGCGCGGGCCTCGGGCCCGCGACGTCAGCGACGGGGCGGGGCCTCCGCACAGGCCCCGCCCCCGCCCCGCCCCGCCCCGCCCCCGGCGCCGGCACGCGGACCCGAGCGAGCCCCCGCCCCCGCCCACAGCCCGCGCCCCACGCCGGGCCCGCGGGCGGCGCGGCCCTGCCGTCCCCGCGGAGGGCGGGGCGGAACGCGGAACCCCGGCCCGACCTCGGGGTGCGGACTCAGAAATTGTCCGCGAGGCCCGCAGAGGACACGTCCTCGTCAGCGGGGGCCCGGGCGCCTCCCCGCGGGACGCAGTTCCTCACTCGGGGCCCGAAGAGCATTTCGGGGACCCGGTGAAAGTTCCCTTTCCTGCTCTCCTCAGGGAAAAATGCACCTTCGCACGAACACATTCTAAGTGCGGCCCGCAGGGCGCGCGCCGGCCCTCTGGGGGCCCAAAGTCCACGCAGCCCGCGAGGCTGAGGAGAGAACCCGCCGCCCCGGACGCGCCCCCGCCGCCCGCCGCTCGCGCTGGGCGCCTGGTCAGGAGCGGCCGCGCTTCTGTTTGATGAGGTACAATAGGTCCCCGTCCTGTTTTGACCACAAGGAGGAACCTTTTCTGACCTCTTCTACCCAACTCCATCTCTCACAGACTCTTACATTTTGATTTGTTTCGGGGAGGTGAGGAGGAAATAACGCCAGGGTTGGAGAAATGGGGGCTCAGCTGGTTGGGGGGGGCTTGTGCTCCCCTGACCCTGCTGCCAGCAGTGCTTGCAGCTCTGAGGTCTTTGCCTTTTATTTCGGATGCTCCACCCCCCCCTCACCTATCCGGGACCCACACAGAATCTGCCTAGAGAAAGTGTCTTGCTTGGAGCCTGCAGGCTATTTTTAGCCAGTATTTTTAGCTTTTAAAAATACTCAGAGGCAGCAGCGTGTGCTGTTACTCATCTGTGGCCTCCTTCTGTTCTTCTTGGCGTGCTCATCCCCACATGTACACGCGCACTGCACACACGACCACAGCCACTTGGGGATG